AATGTGATAGAAATTACACCTGGGCATCAATTTGTATTTTTAACGAATGTTGCTCCCCGTTAGTGAAAATTTTGTTTGTAATGGGAGTCAATGTTGGTCCTTGCGCACGTACTTCTGCCGAGAAGCGCGACAAAAACCGTACAGCAGGAAATTGAGAAAGTCGATGGACTACTGTATAGAGCAGGAATCGCTGATTAAATGTTATTGCCATAATTTTAACTTCGTATGCATAAGAATCTCAAAAAAACTTTAAACCCGTTTTTTTCGAATGGTGTACGGGATTCAGGAAAAACTAGTTGATCGATTTCAAACATTTTTGGCGCGTTTGATTTGTAATTACATTTTCTATAGTATGACCTACAGTCAATAGGTTTGGTCCATGCAACTTCTTTTATTCTGCGTTTATGGTGAAGAAAGTCACCAGAGTTCAGTGAAGAATTTTCAATGTTTTGTTTTTATCGTAGGTCATACGAGAACCATTCACATATATTTAAAGGAAACCTTTGCATTTTTACTTTCAGGTGACAGTATCTCCAGATTTTACGTACACAACTTCAACTCTATTTTTCAAAGCGTCACCTGCTTTGCGGTTTATTTAAGGCTACGCCGACAAAAACACCATAAACAATTTTTTTTATTATTTTAAGGTGTGTACTAATAAATACCAGCAAGAATTTTTACTCTAAATGTTATAGTTTTCATTTTTTTAATCCAGAAAAGTGCGTCTTTCTCACGCGTTTATACGAGAATGTACCCTTAAGAAATGGACATTATTAGGACATGTCAAATTTAAGTCTTGAGAACATCCGTAGAACTTTCAGGACGGACGACGTTTCTAGAACATCCGAAATTTAAGTCTTACGAACATCCTAGGGATGTTCAAAATGGACATAGGACATTCGGATATAAACACGACATGAAACGGACGTCCTTTGGATGTACGAGGATGTGCGGTGCTATCTGGGAAATAGGAAGAAAATACTCAGAATGTATTTCACGGTCACTGAAATCGGTGTGGTCGCCCCTATTCCAAATAAGTACCTTATTTTTTCTCGACATTGTGTTTTCATATAAAGTTTTGAAGGGTACCTTGATTTTTGTTAATTGAACACCGCATATTTCTTTACGAATGTTGAAACAGCATTAAAAGCTGAGTAAATAAGTTTTGTTATAATAGATCTAAAGTGAATACTTATTTAAATATTTGCAACAGAAGTTCTATTGTATTTAGAATCGAATTTCCGTTAGAGTAATATCCCTAATAACCAGTTATGATCAAGTTTCGAGCAAGTTGCCAGTAGTAACGTACAAATGTTGTCTACAAAACCATAGCCATTTATTTCCGCATTTGACTACGGTTTTGTAGGCAACGCTTGATGTCAACATAGTTAAGGAAGTTCACAAAAAGTCTTGCTACAACGTTTATGTCAAGTTGAGCGCAAGACCGGTACAAAATTTGTGCTATCACAGCCCTTTAAATTTTATATGGACGTGCATATATTCGGGAACTTAAGGGGTCTCCCTAGTGTGACGGGTCAAAAAAATCGATTTTTTTTTTTTGCTTTTTCTTAAAGTTCAATAACTTAAGAACATATTCCTAAAGCATTACGGCTGAATTTGAAAAATTGGCAACGCTATGAGCTATGAAATGTAGTGGCGCGACCGGGCGCGCAGGTATACAGTCGGAGCGCTCGACGCTTGCAGCGAAGGCCGATTCTTTTGTAATGTAAAATCGTTACTCCCAGAGTTTTCTACGACTCGGCTACCTCAATCATCCCCTTCTGTGCTAAAAGGA